AAAAAATGAAAAAGAGCTCAAGGAAGATAAAAACACCATTGCAATATTGAAAAAAAGAAAAGAAAAACCAACAGAAAAATGCAAACTCTAGAAAGTAGAGCAAAGCAACAGATAAATATACAAGAAAAAAATGAGAAATCTATACAATAGTCCAGGAGTCCTCAATAAAATATTAGCAAATTTGATCCAGCAATACATGAAAAGAATAAAAAATCATGGTCAAGCTATTTGGATGAAGAATTTTATTTGTATTTACATTGCATTACTTACCCTTAGGTTCCAGCTCATTACTTTTAGAGGTTTATAGAAAATTTAGTAATAACAAACATTGAAATTAGTCCTGGGGATGCAAAGCTAGTCAGCAGTAAAAATCCAATAAATGGAATTCATGAAATACAAAATGCACATTTGCAAAAAAATTGATTAGTAAGACTCACCCATGTTAAAATCCTTTGTTTTGCAAAAGACACTAAGAGATTAAAAAGACAAACACTGAGAAAAAATAGTTACAAATCATGTCTGACAAAGTACTTGTATGAAGAATATATAGAACACTCGAATTTCAACAATAAGAATACAAACTACTCAGCTAAAAAGTAAAAAATTTGAATCAACATTTCACTGAATAAAAGATATGAATGGCCAGTAAGAACACACAAAGATGATCAATATCATTGGTCATTACAGAAATAAAAATTCCAGCCACAGTAAAATACCACTACGTGTCTATTACAATGATAAAACAAAAAGAAAGCTGACAGCAGTAAATGTTGACAAGGATATGGAGAAACTAGAATTCTCAGACATTTCTGATAGCAGTGCAAAATGGCACAAACAGTTTGAAAATTAACTGGGTAGCTTCTTGTTAAGTTAAACATATACTTATCATATGACTCATTGATTCCACTCTTAAGCATTTACCCAGTAGAAATAAAAATATATTCACATAAAAATGCTGTTTTATTAATACTTATAGCAATTATTAAAACAGTCATAACCACCAAACTCTAGAAAGAACCTAAACAACATTCATGAATAAATAAATTATTGGATATAATGGAATACTATTCAGCAATAAAAAATAAAAAGCTAAATAAACCACATCAAAAGAACCCTGTATGATTTACTGAATGACTTATTTCTTTGACATTCTGGAAAAGGTAAAACTATAGGGGTAGATGACAGATCAATGCTACTAGGGTTTGGGGGAGAGGAAGGAGCCAACTGTGAAGGGTTACCATGAGGGAATTTTAGAGAGATGGAACTTTCTGCAACTTGAATGTGGTAGTAGTAACCTGACTCTATGCATCTGTCAAGACTCAAAAGAATAAACTTTATAATGCATAATTTTTACATTAATATGTATACTTTTTAAATTCATGTCTGTGTGTGTTTTTTGGCATTATGTGATAATTGCAAGATTGTCACAGAAATAAAACACATAATCATATCTTAACCAACAAAATACTTTTTGTCTTTACAAAAAAGCAGTTTTACTCACTCTGAAACCAATACATTTTCAAAATGGTAAATTCAAAAAATTTTTAATTTTTAAAAAGCATAAGTGATGGGCCTGAGGAGCAGAATGGGAAGATTTAAGCATATCTAGAAGCAGCAAAAAGGTCTCAGTGGACCGGGAAAACAGATCTGCAAGGGAGGATTGATAACTAACTAAACAGATAGTAAAGGAAATGGAAGAGAATAAAATTGAGTACACATGTGGCCAATTTCTAAGTATCTTTCATGTCATAGACCAAGCTTTATCACTTTAGCAAAGCTTTCCCCAGTGCCCCAAAATGGAAAATATCTTTTACTCCTCCTCTGAACCCCACATCAATTTCTACGATGATTGCTAGTACCTCCTACTAGACGGAATTGTTACTGTACCTATCTTATATTCCTTCCTCCTGCCCTGACAACACACTGAGCTGTAAATTATTTGAAGGCAAGGTTTCAGGGGTATTTTATATGTATATATTACACAGTGACTAACATAGTGCCTTAAATGTAGTGAAAGCGAAGCAAAACAAAACCAAAGCCTTCCCAGTAATAATAATGAATAACTAAATAATGCAGAACAGTGGATGGTTTACTCTCTCTTCCTCTCCCTCTCTCCATCTCTCTTTGTTTCTCTCTGTCTCTGTCTTTCTCTGTCTCTCTCTCTCTCTGTTTCTGTCTGTCTCCCTCTGTCTCTCTCTCCCTCTCCCTTTATGTCTCTGTCTGCATATAATACTCTTTGTGTTAGAATTCAATACAATGACTTTTGCAAAGTGCCACTTTGTTGCCCAATATATTCAGTTTCAGATTCATCTGAGTCTTGTACTTGAAGCACCAAATATCTGAAAAATTGCCGAGGACGTCTCTTTCTTACATAAATATAATAAAACATTCAGCTCGAATAGACCACCTAGGCTAGTTCCCCTGCGAACGAGTCATTGAAAAATTTGAGGGCTCTACTCAAGGAGGTGAAGAAAAGCAGGTACATTATGCTCATTTTAAATCAGTCAAGATTCTAAGGTACACAGATTTGATGTGCAATCTTGTAATGTTCAATCTTTTCAACGGTTTCATTTTTTCATGGGAGTTTAGGGGGAAATGAGCTACATACAAATAAAAGATTATCAGTCTGCTGAATATTTCACTGAACTCCATCATTTATGGCATTATAGTCAGTCAAAGAGCGTTACTGAAGTACCTCCTCTCATTTTGCAACTAATCAGTGCATAATGTTCATATCATTGTTCCCAGTCTGCAATACTTTCATTGTAGGACCTCTTCTCCTACTATGATACGCAACTATCATTAAAGATATGGCAATTTTGTTACAGACAGACATTCATAGCAAATAACAAGATCTAATCCATTAGTATTTCGGATAGGACAGAAGACTGTCCTTCAGGCCTCATCAAGAAGAGAAGTTTTTGCATGCTGTGAATGCACGAGACATGCTACGGACTGATTGTGTTCTTGCTACAAATTGTATGTTAAAGGCCTACCCCTGAATACGGTGAAATTTAGAGGTGGGCCCTTAGGTAGCCACTAGGTTTGGATGAGGCTGTGAGGGGGGAGCCTCAAGGGATTAGGGTGTCTCTGTATCTCTCTCTCTCTCTCTCTCTCTCTCTCTCTCTCTCTCTGTCTCTCTCTCCCTCTCCCTGTCTGCCCCTCTCTCTCTCTGCCTCTCTCTCCCTCTCTGTCTGTCTGTTTCTGTCTGTCTCTCTCTCTCCTCTCTGTCTCTCCCTCTCTCTCTGTCTCTGTCTGTCTCTGTTTCTCTCCATCTCTGCCTGTCTCTGTCTCTCTCTCCCTCTCTGTCTCTTTTTCTGTCTCCCTCTCCCTCTCCCTCTCCTTCTCCCTGTCTCTCTCTCTGTTTGTCTCCCTGTCTCTCTCTCTCCCTCTCTCTCTCCATTCTCTCTCTGTCTCTGTCTGTCTGTCTATATGACTCTCTCTCCCTCTCCCTCTGTCTCCCTCTCTCTGTGTCTGTGTGTCTCTCTCTCCCTCTCCCTTTCTTTCTATCTCTGTCTCTCTCTCCCTCTCCCTTTTCTTCTCTCTGTCTCTCTGTGTCTCTCTCTCCCTCTCTCCCTCTGTCTCTTTCTGTCTGTCTCTGTCTGTCTCTCCTTCTTCCTCTCTCTGTGTGTCTCTCTGTCTCTCTCCCTCTTCCTCTCCCTCTTTCTCTGTCTTTCTCTGTCTCTGTCTCTCTCTCTCCCTCTTCTGCTCCCTCTCTCTGTCTCTTTCCCTATTCCTGTTTCTCTCCCTCTCTGTCTCTCTCTGTGTCTCTCTTTCCCTCCCTATCTCTGTCTCCCTCTCCCTCTCCCTCTCCCTCTCCCTTTCTCTCTCTCTCTCTCCCTCCCTCCCTCCCTCCCGGCCTTCCTCCATCTTTCTTCATGTGTTCCCTCAGGGAGAGGGCTGCTGTTCACAAGCTGGGAAAGAAAGAGAACTCTCACTAGACCACAACCATGCCAGCACCCTGATCCAATATCCCAGCCTCCAGAACTATGCAAAAATGAATTTCTGCTGTTTGAGCCAGCCAGTTAATGGCACTTTTTTATGGCAGCTCCAGCTAAGACAAAGACAAGGAATTTGTAGGTAAAGCCTTAAGCAATTCAGCGCTTCAGCGAGAAGTACTGTGTGAAGAGGACTAGATGGAACACGGGGCATACTCGGTTATACGTAGTCTGGCCTTGCTTTCCACTGACTCCACATGTGACCTTGAACAAGTTGCTTCTTCATTTGGCCACAAATTCTACATGTACAGAATCAAGGGACTGGATGAGCTACTGTCACAGCCACTGTGCAGCCCCAGCCCCACTTCCTCTCTGACTCTGTCAGTGTGCAGTAACAAGGGGAGACAAGAAAAACTAATCATGGTAAATAGCAGCAAGGAGAATTCCAAAATGTGGCTCATAAATTGCCGCTCTAGCACAACATATACCGCAAGATGTATAACTGAAATGAGCATTCATGAAATCAAAACCAATAATCAAAACTGAGTGTTGCATATCACAGCATCATTGCCATCTCTGCGTCCTAGAGGTTACACAGCACACAGAGACAATGGGAAGAATGCAGGCACACGGTAAGGGAGAGCTGCAGGCTCCCAAACGTGCAGTGCTCATTCACCTCCTGCCTACTCTTTGTTAGAGCGTGCAGCGCTGTTTTTCCAAAATGAAGTCCAATGAAAAGAACAATGACATAGAGAGAAGAAAACGTGAGACACTAACCTAGAATGTAATAGCGCAGCCAGCAAACAAAAAAAAATAAAAATAAAATGTGTCTTCCACTTTGTCTTTACGTGCTAAGGAAGTAAAAAACAGAATAGTTATTGTGGCAACTTGATTTAGCCCACTTTACAAGTGGTTTACAGTAACCAACTCACAATTACATTCTGATAGGTTGGCTAAAATTTCCCATACATTTTTTCTTTTTTTTTTTTTTTACTTCACAACCTTTTAATTTCTACATTTAACACATCAACTTACTGGACTAACAATAGTACCGATGCTTAC